TGCTGAATATCAATATTATGAGTTAGGATTTCTATTGTACCAGCTAGCTTTGAGCAGCAGAAACTCAACATTCCAAAATCAATCAGCAAATTCCTCAATAATTCTCACATAACAACATTTTTCCAGGTCTGTCATGTCTGATCATTCGCAAAAAAAATATGCGGATGTTGCGAGAAAAAGGGGTATCAAAATTTATGAGATGCACACATCCTTTCAACCATCTCAATCTGTTACGGTAGCATTAATTTCATTAAAAACAATGTTAACATGTCTGCAAATCTTGTTATGTTGTACCACTGTTGTGTTATGACCTTGCTGATGTAAATTTTTTTGTAGTTATTCGCAATTGACTGCATTTTTTGACTGAATATTATATTCATGGGAAGAGGTCGCATAAATCCTTATGTAGATGAATGTAGCAGATAATTATTTGAGTACGCTGTATGTTGGCTATAAAAGCTTTTCGATTTAAGACATTTTTTTCTGCAGTTAAATGTTTCGGAATGAATTTATGCGGATGTTAAGTTTTGGAATTTCAGGTTAAAGAGATTACAGAATTTTTGAATAAATCGTTGGTTTCGTATGTTTGGAATGTTCTTATGGTAGCTTGAAGTACTTTTTGAAGATAAAAAGTAGCAAAATATTAACATTTTTTGCAATAATACAAAAATTTTCAGAATTTATGAAGACATTAAAACTGGTTTTCACAAATTGAAGATTTATGTTGTCTTAAAAAGCTGAGTTTCAGTTTTAACTAAGCATCTGCTATCTAATAATTAAGTTAAAGTTTGTTTTGATGGTTATTGTTTGAATTTTGCATTATGACTAAAATTCAAAACAAAATCAACTGAGGGGCATGCAACTAAGATATTTTTTATCAAAATCAAAATCAAAATCAAAATTCAAGTTTAAATTAATCGTTAAAATGTTCTTAACACAAAGCTTAACGAATGACGTATAAAATTAAAGCAATTTCTAAAAGCATCCAAACATGTTGAAAATAATAAGATTATCATTCCCACATCAATCTACAAGCCCATAAGCACCATAATAACAAAAAATAACTATCTGTTCTGATAATCACAGCAGCACACATCACGTTTTAGATTCCAAACGAAAGTAAAAGCTTTTCTCGTCTACATTATCATCTCGATAAAATCACAAATGTCAAAAGTAGTGAAAACATTTTCTAAACAAAATAATACATAATAATTGCAATATTTATAATAAAAGTATAGCAATTGTAAATACATAAATTGAAATCATAGCACGAATAACATACACAACATTACCAGCATATGGTACAATTTTTATTATTTTCTTAATTTATCCATCAACATAGATGATAAACACTTTTGAATTGCACCTAAATGAACAGTTTAACAATGCTTTAATAGTGAAAATTAGTCTCTTTTCTTCCCTATTTATCAACTCATTAAAATCTCGTTTAACATGCTTGCATCGCTTAATAGTCACCAAGCACATAAAGACGACGAAGAAAAGAAGCTTGAACGTGAACATAAAATTGCGCACGATGATAACAGTGAGAGCACAAGAGTGTTGAAATAATTTATGCTTCAATTGCATTCTTAGCGAATGCCTATTTGAGTTAATAAGAGTTAAACTACGTGCCTCTTATTGTATTGTGTGTATGTTGTTTTGTGATTTAGAAGCAGTGATAAGCAAAGAGATGTTATTGAGTAAAATGTCTAATTATAGGCGTGCAGGCATCAGTAGAAGGTTAATTGGCGCTAAAGTGGGCTTGCTGCTGCTATTTTTCTCTCTATATATCTCTCATGCAACTCGTACGTACATACACAGTGGAATTTATGATGGGAAAAAAAGTCTGCACTCTGATAAGCAACGAGATACACTAAAGAATGTTAAAAGAAAGCGAAACCTCACCACAGTGATCAATTAAGATCGAAATGAAAAATGAATAAAAAAAACAGCCATCACCGCACGATCGGTGAACACTTATGACACATTCAAATGAATTTTATAAATTAAGTAAGCACATGAAAATTCGATTAAGTTGGGGTAATAGAAAATTTTTCAGCTTCAGTCAAAAAAATGTGTGTACTATTGAGAAGTCAGCATGATGTCAACATGATGTGATAGTCAATTAATTCAATAGCATTAAGAATGAAATTCCGCCATATGAATTCTCTCTCCTTTTAAAGCCACGCATGATCGAACTTAATTTCACTTGACTCGCTCTCCTCGATTTATTCTGCTGTATATCTTGTGACATTAATCCAAATTGAAATTGCTCTAAATGGAGTGCCAAAAAAATCCAATCAACGGTCAGTGAGAGTTGTGTCTCAATGCTAAAATTTCTGTCGAGAAGTAAAGAAAAAAAAATCGGTCATTTAGGGAAATTTGCGCACGGCATAAAAGAAGGCAATTCGGGGAGAGAACAGTTCAGAGTGAGGAGAAGAGAAAGAATTAATTGCCAATCATATAGAGTTGCCAATATAATTGGCACAATAACCGAAAATAAGAGTATTATTTTGCCGCAAGTGCTTTTTATTTTAAAACTTTTTTTTTCTTCTCTTTCTTTCCCTTTCTTTTTAAGAGGAAGGAAAAATGTTTGAAAGGTCATTGAACATTTATTGGATGGAACGCAGTTGAGTTGTTAAGGATACAGCATGTTTTGAGCTGTACGACACTTAAATATTGATTGTAGAGATGTATGATAAAAGATGGACTTTGTGAACATCCCTTAACGTCCAGATCTTCAGCCCCAGTTTGCAAACATCTCAACTTAAGACATGATGAATGTCCTTGCAATGCCAAAAGCACAAATTTCAACTTTCATAACCAGCTAGTCAATGTAAAAAGAAGCTAACGCCACTTACTCAATTTCACTTTTAAACTTGTTCATCCACCCACCCCAAAACGCTTCCTCAACCATGCCGTGCAGTTCATGTCAAAAAATGTGCTAAAAAATTTCGAGTGTTTGTCTTATTTCGCTTCTTTGTGCGCCCGCAAACACGAAACTGCGCCAACCGAAATTCTTTTTGCTGTAAATGTATATACTCATGCATGATATCGAAAACATTAATTTTATAAGCGATTTTTCTTTCTCTCTCCGCAATGAGAATTTGTGTATAAAGCAATAAAACCATAAAAGCAGGCGAACAACAAAAAAAAAAAGCAAATTTGTGATAATAAAAAAAAAGAAAGAGATCTCAAACAGGTCATGTACGTATGAACAACCTGTGACTCTTATGGAGCCTCTCAGTTGAATATAGGTTAAACGTGAAAAGGCATGACTATTTATATCAAGTGCCATTTGTCGGTTCTTTCTTTCATTTGATTTTGTTGAATTGATAATTTGGACGACGCAATAAATTGTTGCTAACTCGTTTTTGAGTATTTTGGACATTGATTGTTGATATTTTTATGAGGAACTTGTTTTTTCTTGGTTATTTGATGCTTGAATTTTGATCAATGGTCAAGGAATATGATGAATTGTCGTTGCTATTGAAAGCAGGGATATTTTTTTATCATCATCATTTCATCAGAGTTGAAAAATTGGAACTCAGGCCTCAACATGAGTTAATGCTAACTCTTAAGTCCCCAATCAAATGAGTTTATAATCAAAAAATTCAAATGTTGTCCCTATTTCTCCTAAAGCATCAAGCATAATCGTGTACCGCCATATCCAACAGATTAACTAGACTCAAATATTCTCATAGCCTCAACATCACTCACAGATAATGAAAATCATTTCAAAAAGTCAAAACCTTAATGACATTTGACGGAGATGTTCGTCAAACACAACCACTTGTCTATATAGAGTTTCCAGCTGCTTACTTCTTCATCTCACATCCATTCGATATCAAATATTGTTCTCCATTACACCAAAAATTGTAAAAGCGAAAGAGCATGGGAGAAACGCAGACGAATGTGTAGAATAACAAGACATTTAATGCTTTCATTAATCGCTATCAACATCCGATATCGTCGTTAGTCGATGTATGTGCAAAACATATCATTTGATGTGAATATGTGTAACTTGATGATGATGAAGGAGAAGGAAAAAAATAGAAATTGAAAATCACGACTTCTCTCCCATTCTGATTATCTATGACCATTTGGGCTCTAAAGAGAATACATACAATTTTTTTATGGAGATGCCTTTTTTTCTTTTCTGCACACTTTCCTCGCTTAATTTTGACTCCATGTGGGAACTTTTTGATGTTTTTTGCACGAAATTTTGTGGGAATGCTTGGAGGTTTGGTCATTTTGATATGGGTTGGGTGTGAGCTGAAGTAGCTAGATGAAATTGAGACTCGACAGGTTTACTAGTTTTTAATTGAACGAAAGCAAAGTTTAAAACAGTAGCTACAACACTAAGACTTTGATTTATCCAGAAAGCAAGATGCACTAAAGATATTTTCCATAGTAATTCAAGTTGAGATGCCTTATCGACAGCTTTCAGAAGCTATGGGCCTTTCTTTTCTGAAATAGTATGTTCGAATTGGCTAGGATCTAATTTAACACTGTAATTCAATATATCCTCAAAAATAGTAACTTGAAACTCGTTAATTTATCATAAGCCGCGAAATACTTAAATGCGCTCTATTCACTCACCACAGTCTACTTCCTAACTTGACAAACTCTCATTTTTCACACAAATCTTTTTTCTTACGATGCGAATAATATGTACAGAATTATTTGGAATCATTGTACAATAAAGAGAAATTGAATAATTTTCATGATTTTTTATTGTGTTATTGATCACAGTTGAGGATGATGATCATAATTGGTTAGGGGTCATCAATTTTTTTTGTTGCTTCATTTTAAATGGACGTATTATTATGTGCCGATGAAATCGATATCTGCTATTGAATGTTTATTGTTCGCTGTTTTTTGGGCGTTTATGGCAAAATTAAAAATATTGCAAATGTCGAGAAATTTGCTCATAATCAGTCATTTCACAGCCAGACGACTTTCGTTTTAAGAATTATTTTTGATAATTTTCTACTTACATGCAGCGATCCCAGAAGGAGGAAACTTATAAGCAATATTGTACACCTCATTTTGTGAGTCTCGTCACTCAGTTCTTAGGCTTTTGCTAATTGGCTGAAATGAAATAAGAGAAAGAAATTTATATAAATTAAATTAACATTTCCTTTTTGGCTTACACAAAAAAATGTAAGTGTTCAATGGGCAACAGATAGGTGTCACACGATGCAATAGATTGAGACAATAAACTTTTTTATTTTATTTTTATTGCAATCATCGTTCATAAAGAACTAAAATAATAATGATTATTGCCAATAAAAGTGAATTTCTCACGCTTGATCTTCTTACATGATGATGATGGTGAATGTGGAAGGAAGTAATGAGTTAAGTTTTAATTAAATATGGAAGACAGTGCAAAAATCATAAAAGTTCATGATTACATAAATTTGCACTTTTTATTTTGTTTAAACGAACCTAATGAACCTCCTCGACTAACTGCTTAAGTCAGAAAAAAAGAAGAAGTGCCATGTAAATTAACCGCCACAAAAATGTTAATGTCCTTTGCCAATTATAATTTTTTACAGTTAAATATTGTCCAAAAATGCAGCATTAAATTATCAAGAAATTTATTATATTCCATAAAAACGTTTAAACTTTAATTATTTCATCATAAAAATAAAGCCAAACATAAACAGAAGTAAAAAAAATTTCACGAGAAACAAGAGGAATCGCGGATACTTTCATGTGTAAATAACACAATCTCTTTAATTTTATTTATGACTGACAATATCCATCAACTTTGTTTAATGAGCCAAACTTCTTCGTCTTTTATATTTGTTTTAAAAAAATTTATGAATTTTTGACGATATTTATGTAGGACTGAATGTTTTTTTTTTCGTGTCAATGACAGTAACACAAATGAGACCAATAACATTATTTTCACTTCGGCTTCCCTATCCAGAAAGAGAAATGAAAGGAACATCGACTTTAAATGTGCGTGGAAAAGTGCAATCACTTTTAATTTGCAGACACGAATGTACACATCAGGTTCGTAAATTCTTCTTTGATAACTGCATTTTTTGTATGTTGTGTCCCAATTTTTTACGCTTCCCTTTTTATCTCTTTCCTTTACCATTGGTAATATTTATGAGAAAAAAAAATAACTTTTTCAATGAAAAGAAAATTATTCACAAAAAAAAAAAAAAAAAAAATATAAAACAAAAAATAGCATTGATGAGAAAAAGTAACAAGTAAGTAATGTTTGAGATGGATGGATTTTCAAAGTATTAGCGCTATTTTGAAAGATTTTTTAATATTCAACTTTTAGCGACTTTAAAAATAAAAGTTGACGTATAATTAGTAGAGCAAATGCTAGAGTACAATCGAAATTTGAATATTAGTTGTGCAGAAATGTCGTGAGTTCAAATCAGAGCTGCGACACAGGCACCTGTGACAGGTGAGAACCCTACAATTCCTTGATAATTTATAAGGTTTTTCTAACATAACCATACAAATTATCATTGAATTGAAAGGTTCTCACCTGTCATAGGTGACCTGTTTCGCAACTCTGGTTCAAATATCACTAAATTACACAAAAAAATATTCAATAAAGTCCAATGCTTCAACTATTTTTTTTTTTAATAAAAATAATATTAACAAATTTTTTAACTTGCTTAAAGGCGAATACGACAAACTGAAGACAATTCCCTTTAAAAAACTTCCATTTAAACCATCCAAAGAACCCCCTTCACCTCAAAAATCAAATCCCATAAAAGAAATAAAATGTGAGGAACAAAAAAAATGTGAAGAAAAAAAATTCAATTTCATTTTCTATATTGTGACTTGACCTATTTCAATCTTAAAGTTATACACAGCACACACATATCACATCGAAATGGAATTATAAAGAGTTTCCGTTTATGCTGAGCATCGCTGATGTGATTGTAATATTCAATATTGAAAGACAAAAAAAAAGCAGAGATATATATGCACAGACATTATTTTTAAAGCTTCTTTCAATATCATTAAAAAAAAAATACAGGCAAGTAATAAAGAGAAACGAAAGAAAGATATCAATGCCCGAACATAAAAGAAATCTGCATATTTTTGCATCAAGATCTCTCAAAAGAAGTGAGGGGAACAAGGAATTGTTATTTTGAAGTTGAAATGAGCATACAAAGCTTCATCATAATGATGTAATAAAAAATAACGTATAAGTTCTTTTTCTATGAAAACATAATTATATACTGTGGGACACGAAAACAAAGCAAAATATGAAAAGAATGCTGAATGTTGTTTTTAAGCACACGCGAAATGAGCATTATTTATGGGCGACATTTGACACCTTTCTCAAATTATGAAAAGAATTTTATGATGAATATGATAATAAAGTTATATTTTTATATGAAATAAACAACATTGCAGCATATTTATGTCTCATAAACAATCCACACATTTTTTTTTATATCTTTCACTTAGCTTTAGGTAGGTAGACGCTTAAGTCACTTTTCGTGATTTTCATAGGGAAAATTCAGTGATATACATTGATTAAATTAGCCATTTAAGGTAGTAAGGTTGGGTATCTTTAATGCTTTGCGTGATAATTTCTTAAGGCGATGTTAAAGTGATTTAATTTTGCTTTTATGATGATTTAAAGTCGTGATGCTTGAAAAGAAAATTGATTTTTATTTTAATTTAGGTACGATCAAGATCAAGAGGTTAGCCAGAGTAGGGAGACTTTCAGAGGAGTTAAATAGCAAACTGAAAATAAAACTTTCTTCAAAGTTTTAGACTTAAGAACGTGTTTTTATTTTTGCTGATTCTTTGGTCAAATCTCAAATTTAGAATGCATGTCTAAAGGAGTCTAATTGATAGTTCACTTCTGTTAAAAATGAATGATAAGTTTATAAAAATAAGAAAAATAAGCAATCATATTCTATCATTTTTTTAACAAACCAATAAATCTGCTATCTCTGATTCCAACATTTCATATCCATCAAAATTCTTTCACAATTCACATTTCCTAATCAAACTTAAATAATTACACATGAAAGTAAATTAAGTTTAACTTAATGGGCAAAAATGCGAGCAAATTTAATGTACCACAGAAAAAATGAACAGCAATAAAGCAGTAATTTTTTTATCTGCGATATTTATTTTAACAACATCAATGAAATTAAGAGTAACAGCGATTGCATTCTTTGATAATCTCTAATGTGCTCATGTACAGTACTGCAGACACTGTTTTGTCGTTAAAATAATGAGAATTAGTAAGCGTAAAAACATTATAGAGATCAGTTAATTAATTTCGTAATAAAAATAAAAAGAAGTAAAATTAATGTTTGTAAGGAAAAACTTCAAAATGACGTCAAGACCAGATCAAATTTCAGCGTCCCAGTCCACATTCCAGAGAAAGTCCACAACATCTACGGATTCTCATTAGCATTTCTAAATTAATAATTAGCATACAGCATATCTTTTTCTTCTCACATAATAAACAATGAGCACTTCCACGACATCACCCTGGGAGCATGAAACGTAATGATGATCGTCAAATCAGCATGCATGTAATTTTTTGTGTGATGAAAATGGTAAGCAGAATACAAGATAACTATGCTAAGAAGTTGTTAGCCACATAACATATACAAATAATTTTGCCGATGGCTCATTGATCAGCATGTGCTACAGTAATACTACATAATTTTCCGAACGCAAAAAAATTTCTTCACTCCATAAAAATCAGACATTAGTAAAATAGAAAATTTCTTAAAAAATTTTACTTTCTTTGTCCGCATTTTTACTTTTATTATGGAAAAATATTTCTTATTTCTCTTATTTCAATCAATCGCCAATAATCTTCAACTTCTTCTTCTTCTTTTATTGTTGCGTCGACATTTATGCTACTCAAATTGTACAATTCAATATTAATTAATCTCTGTGTAATTTGTTATTGTGAACGGAATTAGAAATTGTAATTGTAACAATCATTAAGAAGTCATAAAGAGTCGTGAAGTTTACTTGTTAATTATTCTATTTATGCTGCATATTTAGGCTTTTTAATCTTATTTTTTGAATATTAATTGCACCGCTTTTAATGCTCTGAAAATGCCAAACCTTTGTATTTTTTATAATGGATCAAAAAAGAAGCAATTTTCCAGGTCGAATGTTTTAATTCAATTTTTTTTATCAATTTCTTTTTCAATATCTCAATTTTAATGAATTAAAACTATTCTTCATGTCTAATTAAGCACGAAACAGACACATCTATTATTGTTGTCTGTTCATTTATAGAAATTGAATGAGAAACTTTCAACACTGACATTTATTGAATCTACTTTAATTATGGATTGATTTTTTAATGCAAATTTAGTATTTAGTATTTTTGTATTAGATATTTTGTTGTTTTGATTTTATCTGGATGTATCCGTTAAGCAATTGATTTGAAATGAAGCAATTTAGTATCACGAAAATACATTTAAATCTCAGAATGCTCACAAAGCTGGCGCATTTTGACTTTTCTTAAAATTAAGAGTTTTCTAAACATTGAAATCAAGAGTTTTTATAGATTTAATAGCTAATTTGAGCTCCTAGCAAAATAATATGTTCATTTTTGGTTCCTGTTGATTTTACAATGTTAATTCTCCTAAGATTTAAATTCGCTAAAGTTTTTTGTCATGAATCCTAGTACAATATCTATTATATAACTTTGTTATTCCTTGTATTACTGTCAAAGCAGATATTAATTTCTAATAATAAAGTTAAAGCAATTTTTGGTGATGCTTGCCTTATAAAGTTCAAAGCTGAAGAAGGGGCTTGCAACTAAACTTTCATTTAGAAAATTCAAAAGTTATTTATCCGTTAGGAAATTTTATAATTGAAACTTCATTTATAACAATGAAAAATATAATTTTTAAAAGAAAAACTGAGAAAAACAACCAAAGTCAATCAGAAACAAAAAGTCAATATGAACAATAAACACTCTAAATTACACTAGAAAAATGCACAAAAAAAGGTCCGCTAGATCAATTTATTAATTGATATTTCATGTCATGTGTGCAATAAAAATGTCATTTCAATTGTGTCTTTCTCTACAATCTCGCATTAAATGTCACTTCAAATTCAATAAACGGAAACGCGACATGCTGGTAATTTATGTAGAGTGCTCTTGCACATAATTTATTGATTGATCAATACATAAATTGACATTTTTTTGCTTTTCTCTAGCATGTCTCAGCCAGCTCTTATTTTTTCATACATAAAAATAAAAATTTTCAATGAATAAATTAATCGACGCGTCTCAAATGGATGGATAGCTATAGACAGGTTGTGCGTGCACATGAATATGATGCACGACATAATGTAGGCCAGCATGATGCAGTATAGTAGTAAATTCCATTCATTTGGGATTGTGCGAAATAAACACGTATGTATGCAGCTGTAATTATGATATGCTACTCACAAAAATGTGCAGTTTGTGCGCACTGGTCGAGAGAAAGTGCTGATTAACATGTACTTCCTCTGCATTTAAAAGCATTCTTCAGAAGTTCTATTTTTTGAATTAAAATTGAAAGTTTTTTCTTCACTTCTTCTTTCTTTCTTGATGTTAATTAGTCAGACGAGTTTTTTGCACTTTGTTCATCACGATTGTAGTTGTTTTATCAGCTATTATGTTAATGTTTGATCATTGAATATGAATTTCTAATTTCATAATTTAATTTCCTTACGCTTTTGGTGAAAATTTTCTCGTACATAGGAAAAAAATTACTTCTTTTTCTTAAATAATCTTTTTAAATATATTGTTTACAGAGCTTCCGGATTAGTGTAATTTTTAGATTAGAAATTGGAGCAATTTTTTTGGATGATTTCTAAATCTTAATTTTGGGGAAAATATAATTCAAGTGTTAGCTTTGTTTATCATGTTTTTGGCTGTACAATTGTTTGTTGTATTTAAGAATTTCTATTTAATTAATTTATTATTGATAAAAGGTTTAGTAATTTTTGAATTATTGCTGGAAAGGGGCTTTTAACTGTTGAAAATTAAGAATAGTTTGATTCCCCTTGTTGTTGTTTTATGAATTTCCATTTTAATTGTTGCAGCTCATTCAATTAACAACAAAACAAACTTTAACTTAATTATTAGGCACAATTTAATTTATTTAAACCAAGATAAGGGCAAAGATCGTTACTATCCCATCAAAATGTCGTTGATTTTAACGCTTTTTCATAGCAAAGGTATCAAATAAAAACATGTTTGTACAAAATCACATTTTTAGTCTTTAAATAAGTTTTTCTTAAAGCTTATAAGTTACAAATTAAGGATCTAGATGATTCAATAAACAAAGTTACGAACAAGTTACGAACTACAAATCAAATCTAATTACTTAATGCTTTCCGAATTATCTTAAAATCTGCTAAATTTCTCAGACTTCTCCATTTCAATATCAATGATCTCTTTAGCAAAATGCAAACCTCACCGCAAATTAGATTCAACACTAAACCTTAATTTTTCTATCCGGATACACCAGTCAAAAATAAAAAAAAGTTCCCAGCTCGAAAGAAATTATCCCAAATCTCAATATCTCATTCTCTATGGTCTTAAAAATAATTCGCTAAAAGTAACTGAGACGAATGATTGAAAGAAGAAAAAAAAATAAAAAGTTATGAATAACATAAATGTCAAAATAAAAGCACATAATGTGAATTTTATAGACTCTTCCATTTATGAAATAAGGCGCGAAATGGGTAAAGCTTTTTTTTAAGAAATCAACTCATTTCGTGAGGGGAAAAAGAAGGAATGAATGAGTCGAGTATTTTAATGTGATTAACAGCGCTCATACACGCACATTCAACAATAAAATGCAATAAGAATGGAAATCACAGACTCAATGTCTCTGAATTAATTTTCTCTAGATTGGGTAACCCACTGCTAAGTGCCGAATAATTTAATTAAACGAATCTGTCTTTGTCTTTGCTGCACACATCTTAAAACTGTCACGGTCCCTATATCAGACTTACCAAAATTAATAAAAATTCTTTAATTTCTCTCTCCTTTGCGATCTCGTTCGAGGTACAGCGCTCGATTTCAAACGACATACCATAAAAAATTGATAATAAGCCCATGAGCTATTTCTCAAGTCAAATGAAAGGTGTTTTGCGAGCATAAATCATATTTTAAACCACTTTAAGTGCTTTTTATGATCAATTTTCACCGTCTTTTATGAGTTGTGCCTTTTTGTCGCACGGCTGTAGAACCAAATTTTGGCTCGAGATCCATAAATCATTAAGAAAATGAAACTGAAAATATTTTTGCGTATTTTGTTGACATCAGAAATTAAATTGTAATACTCAAAACGAAAGATATGTGATAGAAAGTATTGTAGTGAGCAGTGGCAGTAGCACAGACAGCGAAATTTTTGCACAATTTATTATGACTGCTTCTTTTTTTTTATTTTTTTTCGTAAGTGAAATGTTAATACAAGCGTATACATGCACGTGCAGAGAGAGCATATTGACCTAATAAATATCACATGAACTCCATTGACCGATTTTTTTTTCTTCTCTTTGTTGATGCCTCTCAACATAAATTTCATTTACACCAGAACGCGTTTATCGACATTGGCATTGGCCTTAAATGATTGCCGAGGCTTTTTATGCATGTTATTTATGAGTTAACCGTATTTTTTTTTTCACGAAAAAACAATTAAAGATCAAGAGAGAGTGTTTAAGAGAATTTCTGGGGATGAAGGCCTTGTAGGTGGGTTAGCTTGGGTATCATTCAATTAATTTAGGGATTTAATAATTTTAAAAGATTTAAACCAAATTTAAAAACTTTCAAATTTCGAATTATTTAAAGTTTGACTCGAATCTTGATAGAAATTTTAAAACTTTGTGAAAAATTAAAATATTTTTAAAGTATTTACTCAGATTAAATTAAAATGGATGTAAGATGAATGAAAATCATCAACAGGATGTCTACATCAGTTCTATATAAAGGCAAAACCTGCATAATTCTCTGCAAGACAGTTAAATTAAAATGCTAATTGAATAAGATTTTAAGATATTCAAGATTTGAAAGCTTTCAAACATTTTCTTCACATGCGGCTTTTAATGTAGTCTTAGCGGTTCAACAAGGTCACAGTGTGATATTCTATCGTTGTTGTGACCTGTCTGCAGATTTGAATATATACCGCTTAGGCACTAATCTATTAAAAATTTGTATTGAATTTGTTTATTAGCAAATTAAGTTTCAGTGCGTCAGAAATAAATTTGATGTTTTCAATATTGAGTGAAATTTGACAATGATTGATCTAATTTTCAATTTTTATTCTGGTCTGATTGGCTGTTTTTTGAGAATTTTCAAATGAATTTTACCTATACAACATTTTAAATTTGAACAATTTTAAAGTTTTAAACAAATCTCACAAATCTAAAGATTTCAAAAAATGTCAAATTGAATCATTTTGATTCAAACTTTTAAAATTGAATATTTTGATAAATGACAAGTTTTTAATAATTTTGAGGTCACAATTGTCAAAATAAAAGAACATTTTATAAAATTAAACATTTGAATAATTTAAAATCTTAAGCAACATTATAAAAATTCATAAAAATCAGATCAAACTAGTCAAAATGTCAAGTCTCATAAAGTAATAGTAATTTTCCCATCATCTCTTTCCTTACACCATTTAATCTAGTAAATATGTATGACAATTGCTGATCTACAACATTATCTTTCCATAACAAACTGAATTATATGATTATTAGGCATGAATTTATCATTTTTTGTGTCTTAAATTTAGCATTTTTATTTCAAAATTTCAAACAACCTAACTGAAAAAAATCTAGATTAACACCAATTTAATAAGTCAGTCGAAAATTCACTAACAAGCATGCTGAAGCTCACCAGCATCTCAAATCTTACTGAATTTAACAGCCATAAAGATAAATAAATAATTTAATTAGCATCAGAAGAAGAAAGAAACATGAAAGAATTATGTGTAACCGATATATTTTTATGAGCATGAAAACATCCACAAAAGATGAATGAAAAAGACATAAAAGAAGAGAAGAAAATATGATTTGAAGATTAGAAATTTTTTTATGACTCTGATTCTTCAGTAGAAAAATTCAAATGTTGATGCTTAGAGCGTAGGTTAAAATATATTTTGGCGGTAATCATGACAAATTATGTATTTGTGATCATCATCACACTAGTGACACAGTTAAATATACAATAGAAATCTCAGATTAATGATAAACACTTTAAAGTTTTAAACGCTGTAACTCACAATTCCTGTCCTCGATATGAGGAATTAAATGTTCTAGCAATTGTAATGTATCACAGCTATGACATGGCTCTGGCTTCTAATAGTAAATGAATAAAACAATAATAATAATAATAATAAAACACAGTACTAACTCACCTTTTTCAATATGAAAATTTAACTATTTTTTTAATCCAAAATATTTTTTTTTTCAATGGCACTGAATATTTTGTTTATGTCCTCACTTGATTCTATTTTATATTTTTTATTTGCTCACTATAAATTTTAATTTTGCACGTGCATTCCCCTTTATTTTTACATCGATATTTTTATTTCTAATATTTTTTTTTTTCTTTAAATTCGCAAACTTTTTCACAGACAGCAAAAAGAAGATGAAAAAGATTTAGAAAAAAAAAAGTTTTGTGTTAAAATAAAATAAATTAACGATTTATAATTATCGTCTTGACCATACCGCGGTTACTAGAAGAATGACTTACACCTGTCTTGTTCGAGTGTTCCGGAGTTGGATGGCATGATTTTTTTTTTTATTTTTGTAAGAGTTGGGAAAAAAAGAAAAGCGAAAACCAAGCAACGACGACTTTTTCGTTTTTTATTTTGATGATAAAGAAAATGAATGTATGTGAAGGAAAATAAAAGAAATAACGAAATGAAGCAAGAGAAAGAAAAGAGAAATGGTAAAAAAGAGAAGAAAAAAAAAGATTTCTACACAGCATCAATTCGGGACTTGATTGTAGACATACACATAGCATTAGTGATATGCGTCGACGAAAGCTTTTTTCGCATTAATGTTAATACATGTGGATATGAGATGCTAGAAATGCACAAAACCCGACGACGACGATTATTTTCGGAATTTTTGAAATATTTTTATGAATGAATGAAAATGTTGTTGTGTTGACTAGTTTTTTTTTTTATAAAAAATATAAAAAATATTCAAATTATCAGAATCGAGATAGGGTTCAGTGTGCTATTTCGACAGATTTATCTGAAATTTCTTTCAGTTTTTTTTTGAGATGGTGCAACATAATTTTTGTGGTGTTGACTTTTTGACTCACTTTTTTTAATAAGCCTTTTGGTTTTCATTCATTAAAAAACATCTGATCAGTGCCTCATTCTTTAAATTAAGTTAAAGTTGACAGTAGACTCCAAAAGGGAGTTTTATGCGCTAACGGTGGATTTTTTAAACACTCCTTGTCTATTTCTCAGGCTTTTATAAATTCTTTACTTTCTATAATTTCTAGTGTCCTTTTTTAAACACGTGTGGTACATCAATTTCAATTAAAAGGTCTCTTAGAAACCGAGCCAGTCCTCGACAGTAGCTACCGGGAGCAACATAATTTAGCCACAAGCCAAACTTCTTCTTTCTATCCAACAGAGCATATAAAATGGTAACTCCAGAAAAAATCCCAACCTTCGAGTCTCAAAAAAGTCCGTTTAATAAAAATCACCAAAAATATAGGTCAAGAATATCAAACTTCAATCGCAATAACCCCTTTAAAGCACAAAAAAAATCGCTCCATAAATTTTTTAACGGCTCAATCAAAAGAAAATCTAAAATTCAATTAAATACAATTTTTTAAATCCCAACAACATCAAAAAATATATATATATATATTCGCATACTATACATAAGCCATTAAATAAACATCTCACAATCTTTTTACATTAGCATCGTTAATAATTCTTTTTCTTCTCTTAAATCGCCGTACATGTACGACTGAGAGTAAAAATATGCTTTATAGCGGGGCTGAAAGTGCACAGTGTGTGTTAATGAATGAATTCCATAAGAAAGCTCCGAAATAATTGCGATTATGATCTGCAGATCTGACTACTTTCATAGACTGGCTGTCTCCGCAATGGCACTTGACCAAATTAACGAATCTCTAGAGACAAATAATTTTTATTTTTTTATTATTCGCACAGTTTATTATATTATTAGATATGTGAAATGAAAATAAATTTCAATTCCGCAAAATGTGATTTTATGGAATCAAAATTTTTGGCCTCACACTGAGCGACTCGTTGCTTTTAGAATTTCAATTTTTTATGCGATTTGATCTCATTATTTTATGCTTGTGTATTCAATTATTTTGATGTTTTTGGTTCCATAAAAGTCAGATTATGGGAAAATGAGAGTTGATGTGAAAGGGATCTTGAGAGTTTGTTGTGTATTTATTGATTAATACTAAGTTGGCTAATCCTTTACGCTAATATTAGTTATTGGACAATCAAAAGTATGTTCGTGAAGTTTTGGATAACAATTTATCAAATACATGAAGCTAAGTTTAGTTTTTGTCATATCCAGTTGATATCAACTGGCTGAGAACCAAGTTCTTTAGTTTCCGAGAGATTTTTAAAAAAGTTTCCAAATTCCTCATTTTCCAACTTATTTTCTCCTACAAATCATTTAAATTCCCGCTTTAAATTTTAAACTTCATCATCCACCCAGATCATCGGAAAAATTCCGCTATAATTCGCAACCACATTCTCATCGCTTAATAGATATTAAAGAATTCAACAATAAAAATCAATTTGTTTCAATCAAACGTATGATGATTAGTTTCGTGCATAACAATAAATCTATTATGAATGAAATCAATTTTGCATTTTGTTATATCGAAGCTTGAACAGAAATGCGAAAGCACCACAGCTCAATTGTACTTGGATAATTGCGTTTATTGACATTTATTAGACCACAAAGTAACAATGAAAATGAATAAAAAATTCGCACAATTAAAAATAGATGAGTTTTTTTAAGTTTAAGTTTTTAAAAAAAGAGAATAATCGAAAGTAAGACTTCATTGATATTGAGACAAAATACAAAACTTGGGGCATTAAAAAATTAACAAAAAAAAATCTGATGAAATTTCTCTTGATTTTTATGATGCACTTTTCACAAAAAAATATAAACTTTTCTTCAATTTTCTATAAGGGGCCATTCACTTATTACGTAACGCTTTTAGGGGGAGGGGGGGGTCTAAGATTTTGTTACGGTTCAAACAAGGAAATTTTTTTTTCATACAAATTTTGTTACGAGGGGGGGGGGGGTCTAAGAAGTCATTTTTTCGCGTTACGTAATAAGTGAACAGCCCCTAAGTGATTAATTTTTGCTTTTCTTTTCGTGTGAGAAATGTTTCTACTCTTTTGTGGACGATCGCCAGTAATCAATGAATAAAGTGGAAATTTTTTTATTCAAACGTGACTCAGCAGTTCTTAATAAAATTTGAATTCAAAATTTACAGGAAAGTTCAGTGAATATTATGTTTATGGAATCTCGTGGAATAAATTTGCGCGAGGTTAGATTTAAAATGTCAATATTGTCAAGTTAGAGGAGAACCGGTCATTGGCACCGAACTAACCTGCGATCCTGACATGTTGTATCTTTGTCTCTGACAAGTCTAAGCTCATATCTTCTTTAAGAACGCTGAAGCTTTATTTAAAAATTGCCAATCCTAGATACTCATTTACGGACTTATTACAATAGTCGTAGAGATCAATTGTGAACCATGGCATCCCTTAGATGGCGCCTGAAGCCGGCTATATCACTAGCAACCGCTTGTTTATTTCCTATACCAATCCCAATACTGTCTCTTTCAACAGCCGCCTTCCATCAATACTTAAAAGCCTTACTAGCCAATATAAGTTAAGATATCAAAAAAATAAAATTTTAAAAGACATTTGAGGAATTCATTCTACTGTTTATTCAGCAACTCTCTCTTCTCACTGACTCATTGCGAATTCCTTGGTTTTCAGAAAAAAACGGAATTCGCATAAAAATTGCTCAAAAGAAATCAATAACCACAAATATTCAAATTTCTATTACAAATGCCTAATTCACGAAACAAAACAAAAAAAAAATCTACAAAACTACTCGCAAATTACAGTTTAAAGATCCACCTGTAGTGTAATTAATAAAATTATATCCATTTCAAGACAGAGCAGACAAAAAAAGAAATTCATGTGAGAATAATGATGATGATTATGCCGAAAAATATTTCAGAAATGTTCATCGTCACGTTTTTATGCAAATTTAACAGACCATTTTTTTTTTGCTGCTTGCTACTTCTCTTTATTTTAAATGCGAATTCATTTGTATTTGATGGCAAATTTATGGAAATTATTTTAATATTTTACCAGGCAGTTACTGCTTATTTAATGACCTCACGTCTGTCTCAATTGGTTGAGATAATTTTCTGTTCTTTTTTGGTGTGCTCGGGATGAGATATTAAATTAAGACATTAAGGATTGTGAGAAAGATTAACTTTTTTTGATGATCATCATTAACTTTCCATTATCAGACTAATTTTTAAGCCTTATCACAATGCTATCACATTCCATCGGCAATTAAAATTCATTTTTACTTCATCAATCATTTTTTTTTGCCTCATCCGGAATTACAAGAAACGAGTATGAGAGAGATTTACTGAACATTCTTGTTTGTATGGAAAATGTCAAGGGATAGACATTAGTTATGCTTTTGTATTTAATTAAAATTTCTTAAATCAACGACTTTTTATTGAAATTTTACAATCATTAAATTAAATGTGATTCAGAATAGATTAAACAGGTTCAAAAATCAATTCAAACGGTTCAATCATTTTACTAAAACGGTTCTCAACCAATAAGTAGTTCAAACCCAATTGATCCGATTCAAAATTATTTGATCAAGTTCAAAGTTTATTCATTTGGATTGAAACAGTTGAAATCGATTTAAAAATGTTTAATTAAACATTTAAATCTAATCAAAAATAAGAATTCGTCCAAAACATTGTAAAATAAATCCTCCCCATCCACAGATGTCTTTCCCTTGATCAAAAAGAAATATTCACTAGCACTTTCTGTAGAGAAATTAAGATTTAACTTATTCAAAAGCACAGCTAGCCGCTGGAAACTGTCATTGAACACAACAATAGATTAACCTCATAGAACAGCAGCAGGAATCAGTAGTTTCCAACTCTTAATTCAATAGTTTCTCACGCTGTGCGGAAAAAATCGCAACGAATCAGTGTCTAAACTTTGAGCAGACTCAACCGTGTGTGCGAATATTGATGACATTGAACCTATCATAGCTGACGAAGTTTATGTGAAAAGAGAAGAGTCAAGATGTTAAGCTATTAAACAGTAAAAATATTTGACAAATTGCATTTTGAAGATCAAAAGATCATCAGAGATGAGACGAGTGTTGTGATGATGATGATGAAAATGAAAATAGGTCAGTAGAAATTACAAAGAATTTTTTTTCTCTCTTTCTTCATTCACATTTTTTTCTACGTCTCTTCTTTTAATTTCACTTTTTTACCGCTGCCTCAATTGGTATTTTCATTTTCATTCTTTCATCATCATCGACTGCTTCTTCACTTTTATTTATTTACTCCGTAATGTTCATCGAGAATTCTTAACCTTTTCTTATAAGATGTGAAGCTCATTAACTTAGTCGCGAATCGAGCATTTCATTAGCTTTTTTTGCATCTAACGGAATTGAATCTTAACTTTTCGTTAAACTAAATTACCCATCTAATGTAGTTTGTAGTTATAATTTCATTAAGCTCAAATCTTTATGAACAAGAGATTTAAATCAGGGTATGCAACTGTATTCATTATAGACGGCGTGTTTTTAATAATAAACATTATTTATTTTGCAATATTATTTTAATGTGAATTTAACTGAATAAAATTATCTATTGATATCTTTGATGGATGGACGATAGCATTAAAAAAGTTTGGCATTTTGTCTTTAAATTATGGTAGCATTGAGATGTAAAGGCATAGATTACAGACCAGTAAGAAACTAAATTAGTGCTCTATCATGTCATCAGAAACAGATGCGCTTTAGAATCGATTTCCGAATAGCCAATAAACCTTATGACACGTACATCATAAGCAGAGCACACCTTTGTCTTATACTCATCATTACGATCATCATTTTAAACTCTATTTATCATCCGATACATACAATATCATGTATGAATGCAATTAAGTTGTTTGTGTGAAAAATGAAGTTTTTACGGTTTAATTCAATTTGTCGATGATTTATGTTATAGCAATTGAGATAGTTTTATATTTTTAATCTGTTTTTCTTCCTCTTATTCATTTTTATATGTAACAATTCTCAATTGACATTTGAATGTCCGCTTTCAATGGATAGAGTAAGTGTTTATATGTAAGTAAGTCAATATAAATAAATTGAATGAAAAGTTTGACAGTATTCGCATATTCTTTCTCTCCTTATCTCCTTAATTTCATAATTCAATCAATTTATACGTTTGCATTCACTTTATTAAGTGTAATTAATGTTGTATTTTCGCGCATATTGGCAGAAAACAAACCATTGACATACGCTATTTACCTTAATAGCTAAATATTTACTGCACATGAATTGTGATGCAGTCACAATAATTTATGATCGTTTAGCTTTCATTTTCAAGATCTTTTTTATCAACTTTAATAAGAAAATCAATTTTTCTCTCCGTTCGTTTCATTCATCTCAATGCGAGTCGTAATTTCATTCATATTGCATTAGTAAATCGTGTTTTACTCTTACCTCCATGTTGAGATGATGTTCCATTGATGACGGTGGGAATTTTTTGATAAGAAATCTGCTGCTTGAATTCTGTATCTTCAAATCAGATGTTTTCAGCGTTCAGAAGGGCTTTACTTTTTCAAGTATGTGATTTAAATGTATAATCCTATAGTTCTTGAGCAGTGTTGCAAATGTAGATGTCTACACTAGATGAAGAATGTAGATTCTTCAATAGTTTTTGTCTAGCTAAGGAACTTTCTTCATAAAGATCGATTCAACATGAAGATAGAAAATCTAATCTACACAAAGATTATTTCTACATAAAGATTCTGTCTACATAAAGATTCGATGTAAATGTCTACAATTCTACATTTTTTCTAGGTCTACATCAGAGAAGAATGTAGAATTGTAGACATCTACATCGAATCTTTATGTAGACAGAATCTTTATGTAGAAATAATATTTGTGTAGATTAGATTTTCTATCTTCACATCGAATCGATCTTTATGAAGAAATTTCTGTTTTAGAATTTATCTGATCGAGACAAATCGCCAGAATGCAACACTGTTCTTGAGTAGAACAATGCGGTACGACTTAATGTTTGGGCTTCAACCAGACTGTTAAGAGTCACGAGATCAAGAATCATTTTGATCAGCTCTGCACTCGAATTCATCTGATGATTTCTACCTGGGAAAATCCTAGCTTAAGCAATTTGTTACTACTTCATAAAGACAGGATTTTCTCAACACCTGAGCAATAGTCCGACTTCATTAAATTGACAACTTCACTATTTATTAAGCACTTTAAGTTCTTTAAAAGATCTAGCAATAAAAACTTTCAATTTCCATTTACTTTCAGTTCTCATCGAAAAGGTGATTTTTCCCGGCATTTACAAGCTTCAAGCCAAAAGATTACGAAAAGATTTGTTGAGGAAAGCGATTAATTGATATCAACTGACAGTCAACTAAGCATGGCATCTAAGCATTAGTAATAAATCAAAAATTTGCAATTTACATTTTTTTCTCTCTTGTTTATGTTTTTCTCTTTGCATATACAAAGATTTACAGGTATTAAATGTGCTGAGCTTGAAGTTGATATTGATAACACGACAAATTGCTAATAATTTTTTTTTTCCTTACTTAATTCAAAGAATTCGTATGGGCTCGTTCACTTATTACGTAACGCAAAAAAACGAATTTTTAGACCCCCCCTCCCCCCCCTGTAACAAAGCGTAACAAAATCTTAGACCCCCCCCTCCCCCCCCCATAACGTAACAATAATTTTTTTCATTTAAATTGTTTATCAAATGTTTATTATACTTCCTTTAAAATTTAAAATTAATATAGAAAAAATTATAAAAAAATATATTTTTTGAAAAGTTACGTAACAAAATTTAGACCCCCCCCCCCTCCCCCTGTAACAAACCGTAACAAAATCTTAGACCCCCCCTCCCCCCCTAGTGCGTTACGTAATAAGTGAACGAACCCTATCGTGATTTTAATAATTTTTTCATCATAAAACTTGCTAGTGATTTGAAAAATGTCTTTGAATTAATATTTGCATGATTTGCAATCAAAAAAGTTGTTTACTTTATTTTACAGATGATTAAGCTATGAGTTTAACTTGTAAATGAGTGATAATTACCTTTGTTAAGTTGATGATAACAGTTTTAAATTAATTTGCAAAGTAAGTGCGTTTACTCTTTGGAAAAGCAAAGACAACTGCATTCAAAAAATCAATTTGAATTCAAAGACATGTTAAAAAATACATTTAAAATTAATAGCCAAATAAGAAATTCTCAGCAACCAGCAGTCTTTAAGTAATTTTTCACTGCATAAAGTAAAAGTTTGAAATTTTTCCGGCTCAAAAATAAGTGAAAAAGTAAAGAGAAGAACCTGCATTGAATCAAATAAAAAGAGAAGGAAAGGAAGAATTGTGTCAGTCAGTTATCATCGAAAATAATCGATTGTTTATCACTATAATTATCGTATGATACAAGAACGAGGTAGATCAAAAAATAGCAATAAAGGAATTCCTTAAAGTCTTGTTCATAAAACAAGGAGGACCATTAATTGAGCTCCATGCCAGTTTTTATAAAAACCAGCCATTGTGTTGATGATTAATGAATTCTTGCCTTGCGCAGAATTGAAACACAACAACATCGTGGGGAAAATGTATGAAAAAAGGCTTGGAGATATTTTTGCTGGTTTTTACAGAGCTGTATGTGTTTTTTGTCAGTTTATCTAGAGAATTGGGATGCTTGGTATACAGGAGGTCAGCCTTTCATTGGTTCAGCTGGAAAATTTTTCATTATCTTCAGAAAATTGTCTTGTTTGGTATTAAACTGGATTGTATGAGATACAGGGATGCATTTAAGGGGGAGGGGGGATTTTTCTAAGCACCCTAGCTCCTTTAGACATTTATTTATTTATAAACGACCCCCAATATGCGCTCATTAATAACCAACAACGCCTCCCATTTTCAACTTATCGTTTTTAGTCAGTCGGCATTGATACAGAAGAAGCAAAACAACAGAAGAGACGCAAGACAAGGGCAGTAAAATGCAATTAACAAATTACTTTGCTAATGACACATTTTTCTTTTAAGAAATGAATCCGAAATCGATTTTGCGATCAAAATTTCTCTTTTAAATCAGCTCTCAATCTTGCGCTTGAAACATTTTTTTGGCATTTTTTTAAAGCGTGTACTGCTTATGATCGTTTTTATGTGCTGACCCCTGGCCTCTTCGGTCGAAAATTAAGTGCCTCGATATATTACCAGATCGTTGAGCCAAAATTATTATAATTCATGTTTCTTATTATTTCTTAAGCATATCAATTTCAATTCATGAGATTAATTTCATTTTATTAGATCTTAAATTTCCAATTTTTATTGCTTGCTCTCAAGCGATTTTTTGCTCTTTTTACTTTCCCCACCCCGAAAAATGATTTTATGCAGGCTTAATAAGTCCGATTCTTAGAATTTGAACTGCAATTGAGTCCCTTGAGACACAAGTTCCTCTCGTTACTCTATATTAAGAAATAAAACGTATCGCATTATTAATGACGACGATCGTCAAGTGTCATGGTAATTGAACAAGAAGTACAGAGGTAAAGAAGAGAGAGAGAAATTACACAAAAACGGAATGAGTAACTTTTTTTTGCATTTTTCGGATGTTGTTAAAATGGGTTAAGAGAGTTACAAAAAAATGGTAGAGAAATATGTCAGCATCGTGTGTGATGTGGAGGCAAAATTGACTGAGAGATTTAAATTCCTTATAAAAATTGAGTATAAAGACATAATTATGTTAAAATCATAAATAAATGTGAGCAGATAAGGACGGCAAGTAAAAACATTGAGGTGCTTCTAATAAGCTTTAAGGTATTTCAATGTATTTATGAAATTCTGGCTTATTTTTGTCTAGAATTTAGAATTTTATAACGTATTTATTTTTAAACTTTCTTTCCAAAATAGTTTCATGCCCCTTTGTTTACTAATTGAAATTTTCAGTCAAAATTCATATTTTTGTCTGCAAAGATTAAAAAATCAACTTTAACTTAATTATTAGATTTATTATTAACTTTAACTCAATTATTAGATTTATTATTAACTTTAACTCAATTATTAGAATTATTTGCGTGGTTTTAAGCAAATTAAGACTTACCAGGCTCAGATTACAAACTAAAACTTGAATTATGTTGTTGTTTTCAAACAAATAATGCGGATTCCAATTAAAATTTAAACTTTTGTTTACAAAAATGACAAAATCTTATCAAACTTACTTAAAATCAGGCTCTTAAGGCCAATTCGTTAGATGACTTCCGGAAAATTTTCAGCAAAAAATTGAAATTTTATTGATTTTTTCCATCAGAGTCACTGATTTTATGATTCTTATCGATGTAACTGTACACTCTTTTTGATATCATATACTTCTAATCGCTGTTATAATTCAGTTATTTGGATTCTTTAATCAATAACTCGATGACAGAAATCGGAATTTTCAATTTTTATCATCCAAAGAATCAAAATTACAGAAAACTATTGATATACACATTGAATAACTTTTACTGAGTTATAGAACAGACAAAAATCTCTAATTAGGTTGTTTTTTTGTGTGGTTTAAGTCAGTAATTAATGAAATATTTCAATTCTTTGAAAAATTTCCTTGTGTCATCGAGTTATAAAGAAGCTTTTTTTTTTGTCTTAATCCGTGAAAAAATACAAAATTTTTAAACATATTTTTTCAATTTTTCACTTAATTTGGGTGAGTTGTAACATTTCAATAGATCACTTGTAATGAATCAATTATGCTTAATGATCTACGAAAGTTCTGGCTTATTATTCCTTCACAGTAATATGAAATTAAAGAAAACATTTTATTGACACAAAACTCATTGACATTGGATTATGAAAGCTCATTTTTTTCAAATTCCACTCATCCAAAGAATTGCCCTTAATCAGAAAAAAGAGTAGATTAGAAACAAAAATCAGTAACACTTCGGATCATAGCTAATTCACTGCACAGAATATTAAGACAAAATGTCATAAACAACACTTCAAACCTCTAAACATTGCATCAAAATGAAGAAATGTTCAAAAAGTTTTCTTACAGGCAAAATAGTTGGAGCGCCTTAAGAGCAACTATTATTTACACACGAATCATGAATATAGTATAAAAGAAATATTGAAATGGAATGTGAAACAGATTTAAAAATAATTTGGACATGCTACTAGTCGCACTTAAATGATGAACTTTAGCTTAAAGGCTTGAATGAGCAATCGAGTTTTATAGAGATAGAGATGAGAAATAAATGGAAGACAATTTGTCTGGTATGATGTCTATGTCAATGATCGTAATTGTGAATATTTTCATATCAAGTAATTTAGACGAGCGTGTTGTGTATCTAAACAATTGCGAATTATAAACTATGGCAGCAATGCGACACAATGGAGCAGTTAAGCAGCATCTATTCTTCAATTTTTTTCCATAATGTCAACAGCCTGTCGTTTGCCTACATCATTAAGTCTATAAAGTAATGACTGCATAAATCTCATCCGTCATTTCAATTTTCACAATTTCACAATCTAATAGAGATCGGCAATGAATGATAAACTGCATTGCAAAAAAAGTGAATTAAAAATAAAGTTTACTGATAAAAGAGAGAAGAAAAATGAAATTGAAAGATTTAATGTGCCATTGTTTTGTCTTGCTGGTGCAGTGGTAGCATCTGTAAAGTCAATAAGAAGCATGGGTGATTGATGGCAATGATTTAGGTGCAGTCATGAACGAATTTTTAATATAATCAAGTTTGAATTTTTTGTTTTCAGCTTTAACGGCTTTGTAGGATTTAAAAAAAGAGAATTTTTATTAAAAAACACGTGTCTCATATGGAGTTTTTGGTAGCTTATATCTCTAAAACTAGCTACTTTCTAGCAATAAAACTTGAAATATTTTGTAATTTAAAGTGGAGCAAGAAAAGAAATACTTAATTCAGCATCCAATACACATCTATTGTCTCCTTAGTAGCAAAACCTCAAATTTTACATAAATCAATGACAAAGTGCCATATTAATATTCAGAAAAATCTGTTAAATGAGGTGAAAAATTTCTTCTTTAAAATAATTGAAATTCATCTATTAACGCCATAATTTCATTCACTATTAGCAAAAAAGAAAAATGAATTTGATTAATCACTCCGTATAAATGAGAAGAAAACAAAATGAAAAATTTTCTTTCTTTTCATCAAATCAAGCGCATGGCGGATGCGATCACCTTTAAACATGTTACGTGTGTATATAAAAAGGGAAAATCTCTTCTTCTATTTGTTTCCGTTTCAATTGTATCATTGTTTTTCTCACTTTTTATAATTTGATTGTTTTGATGGGCCAGAAAATTAGCAGTCATAACTTTTGGGAAATCGTGAAGGGCAGTAATTTTAATAAATCACGAATATTTTTTTTGGGCTCAAGTGGAATGATCGTAATTTAAATTGCTGAGATGAATTATTTACATCTTTCACAAATATAATTAAAACATTAATCTTGGGGATTCCTGACGAAACTTTCTGATTTTTCGAAATAATTTGTTAATGGGCTGTATTTATTGAAATGAGCTTTGAGATTTATGGAGCAATTTTGATTGAATATGCTCGATAATGTGAGAAAATTGGTGAAAACTTGCTTTAAAATCTCAATTTTATATGGAAATTCAATTTCATCGGTTTTTTGTCAAATTTATATTTTTGAAAGCAAAACTTTAAATTATTAACGGAATTTTTTGAATTTTCAAGGACTTATAATCTTTCAAAATTTTAACATGTTTTAAAGGAATTTTTCAGAGGTCGAAGTCGACATGATTTCGCTCCGGCTCGCTAAAAAACCGATTCGATAACCGGTAAATTTGTATAAAATGTTGTACTTCACAAGTGGCAGCAGAAAAAAATCTATTCAAATTTGAATCGGTTTTTTAGCGAACCGGAGCGAACTCATGTCGGCTTCGACCTCTGGAATTTTTATTTCCAAAATCTTAATTTTCTTGACAATTTATAAAGCAAAGATTAAAAAGTAAGTAAAAGCAAATCTCTAAGCTACCGAATTTCACAATGAAATCATTAATAAATGAAATTCCTACACCTACTTTAAATATGATCCGAATATAATACACTAATTAAATAAGCATTAAGTTGTAATTTTCAAAAAAAAAATTATAAACCACATATGCATAAGTGCTCGTTCATTAATACACAAAAGCAGATTTAATGTGGATTGAAGCTCTTCTTTGTTGCATGGCAATTTGTATCAATATTCGTAATTGGTCAATCGAAAGTGCCCTTGATTTAATTCTTTTCTCTCATTTCTCTTTTTATTTCATGAAAAAAAAAATATATCAAAAAAGATCTTGACTAGTTATTTATATCGCATATTCATATGTTACATATGTACACAAGCACTTCCGATTAAGCCTGATTCATATAATGGGAGAGAAATGCGCGAGCGATAAAAGATATGAAGAAAACAAAAAAAATACATGCTGAAGCATTCCGATCTCACTTATAGTGTACTTTTTATCAGCAACTTACAGTTAATGTTTTATAACTAAAGTATCTTAATTTCAATCATTTACAATCTTTGTAATTAAAAATATATGTGTTTACTACTTCATTCAGATGGATATGCTTTGGCAAAATAAAAATTAATTTCTATTAAAAATAACATGTAGCCGCTTTGTCTGTATTGACTGTATCCTACTGTAGTCATTATTCTCTCATAATCATGACATTATTCTAGCGACATAATCTCCGTCTAGTCAGTTTGCAATATTCATACATAATGGATTTATTTCTCAAGATTTTGACATTATTAATTATAGTTTGTGCATCACCTGGATACTCGTTCAGGCACAAGACACCGGCTAGTTCTTTTCGACGACGAGATTTCATGGAAAGATGCCCACTTGTAAATATATTAAAAATCAATTAATTTTCTTAATTAATCTCCAGCATGTGCTTTAAAGGTTAAGCCTATGAGAAGTCTACAGCTAGCAGACATGATGGGATTTTGGTACATCATACAATACTACTCAAGCTCCGAAGAGACAGCCGAGTATAAGTGCATGAAAGGAAATTTAGAAATGTCTGACAATAAGGATGTAAGTACAGTGTAAAGGTGTGGAACTGAACAAAAGTGATATTAATCTAATTTATCAGTTCCATGTCCTTACTTAATGGATTCTTAATATGCATCCATCTTTCGAATCGTGTCACTAAAGCCCCTGTAACTGTTGATCATTGTATCATCCTATTACATTCACTTCCTTCCTATTTTCATCATCGATTATTCAAACAAAGACATGCTGTGGCATAAAAACTAGATCAAAATAAATGCGTCAAATTCGGAACGAATGTTAAAGACTCTTTTTTTTTCGTAAAGCTGATCATGATGCTTGTTTAAATTAGACGCAATTAATGAGAGAGTAGAATTAGCTTCAAAAATTGAGAAAAGAGTTACTAAACATGATTTTGTTGAGTATGTAAATTAGGTATTATAGCTTGAGTGTTGAATATGTGTAATTGGTTCTGATTAAACCTTGAAATAGAGGATTTGTTTATGGCGATTTTGACTAGTGTTCTATTACAATGTAATATACATCCAGCTGGATTGAGAATAGCGGTTTTCTGTTATTTAATCATTGTTTAGAGATTAGAGTTTGTAAATATTTAAAATAATTCCTTATTATTATTATTATTATTATTATTTATTTGTCGACGTTCCCGTCCGGAAGAATTAGTATTTATACATGTTTTACTTTTTACATTGATTAGTGATACATTTCATATCACTATGGGTGACGTAGAATCGAGCTTCTAATCTTCAAATCTAGGTTTCGATTAAATTCAGGCTCTCGTTTCAATCTTCTGTGGGTGTGACGTGATACTTTTCAGGTCCGTTCTGACAATATTCCATTATAAGGTAATCTTGTAGCTCTCGTTCCTATTTCTCCCGCTACACTTCAAATTCCTGATCCGCTCCTTAATCCAACGTTGCCCAAAATGCCCAATTATGGCTTGATCTCGTACATTAAGCAGTCGAAATATCTAAACCTCTGAAAAAGAACAAATTTGGAAATGGCTGGATTCGAACCGACGACCTTCGAGTTACCATACCAAATTTAAGCCAAGCGCCTTACCTATTCGACCAGCAAGGCATTAACTGCTTCATCTGCAATATCCCAATAGTTTTTGCAAGAAAGTACTCAAAGTAAACAATTTTTATTAAAATTAGACTTATTCTAAAACTTTTGAGTTGTTTAATAACCAAAATCACTATCCACAGCATAACTTTATCCTCATAAAAAAATTACAAAAGTCCTCGTGTTTTGATCGAGTGACTTCAGCGCATTTTTGTGTTAGCGATCAGTATTTGATTATCTATTTATTTTGCGTTCATTTACAGATCATTAGAAGATCATCAATTAGCAAATATTTATAATGAATGCTTATATAGAAAGGCTTTATTATTTAACGGTAAATAAATAATTTGAAATTTTCCCGCTAAAAGTTGCACTTCAAAAACATTAACTATAGTATAATTAATAATTTGTAATGATTTATCATTAAACGTTTTTTGGAATTCAAATTTTTTAACGGTTAATAAATAATTTGAAATTTTTCCCGCTTAAAGTTGCACTACGAAAACATTAGTTATTATTTGAGATTCAAATTTTCTAACGGTCAGTAAGTTTCTGAAAGCTTCCCGCCAAAAGATACACAAAAAATCATTAATTATAGTAAATTTAACAATTTAATATCTTTCATTCTCCTATATAAATTGTTTATCATTTAACGATTTTTTGAGATTCAAATTTTGTAACGGTCAGAAAGTTTTTGAAAGCTCCCGCTAAAAGATATACAAAAAATCATTAATTAAAGTATATTTATCAATTTAATATCTTTCATTCTCCTATATAAATTGTTTATCATTTAACGGTTTTCTGAAGTTCAAATTTTATAACGGTCGTATGCATTTGAAAGTACCTTGCCAAAAATTGCAGTAAAAGCATTAATTATAGTATAAATAACAGTCTGTTGCAAAAAAAAATTTCATATAAAAAGGCTTGGTAATTTAACGGTTTTTTGAAATTCAAATTATTAGTCTGACAGTGTAGAAGTTCCCATCAAATGTTCGGATAGTGTAGAAGTTCGAAGTGTAGAATTCTAATTTTTTTAGAAAATTCATTAATTATAGCATAAATACACTGTTTTAAGATTTTTAAATGTCCGGCAGGCCAATAACTCGATATAACGGAACTAATGCAAAAAACTAGAACTCTCTACGATGTCTAGATTAAAAGTTTTTCTTAGCGGCCGACCAGCCGACCAGCCGAACATAGTGCGTTATTAAGCTACCTTTTTGAAAACAAGTTTCAAAAATGCGCTAAAAATGGCATATCCAATTTTTAAAACACCATTTAATTACAGATAACAATGAAATTTACATATTTCTTTATCAACGACCCCAACAATGAGTTAATGAGCGGAAATATTACATGGTATATACCAAATTTCAACGATGTTTCGCATTGGATTCATGCTGAAGGTTTCTGTAAGACAATTTGTTATATCGATTCTGTATGCTCCAATTTGACAAATTTCTCTTTTTTATGATTCTTTTATTTTTTTTTTGCCTTCTCACAACACAAACTCGTTATTAATATGTTCCAAAAAGACGAAGGTGTATATAATACATACATTATCGATAATTGCCGTCAAGATTGGGCATTGATAATGCATTGCGCTGAGAAAAAGAGATCTTCGAGATATCTTTCGGCATTGATGTTGAGCCGAACACCTACTTTGGGACACAATGTAAAAGTATTTTTGCGAGAAAAATTGCCCCAATACAATATCGATTTGGATTATATGTTTGATGTTTATCAAGATGATTGTAAGGAAGGAATTGGTAAGTGGAACTGCATTTTGTGGTTTGTTTTATTGTTCATTTGAAATTCTCTTTGTTTAAGCTACTATGGATGAGTACTATCGGTATGTTTTGAAGAATAAGGACAACTCTACTGATGTGCCAGCTGTGGACAAAGCTTGAAATAGACTTTTCTATTTAAAGTCCGAATCATCTTTGAGCTCTGATACTTAAAATTCACTATAAAAACCTATAAAAATTTGAAAACTTAAATTTAACATTCAAAACTTAATTGAATTCCATGCGAACGTATGAAGCATAGACGTCAAAACAATCTGTGCGACTTTTACATAAGTTTAAATTGAAGCTTTTAGAGTCTGTAATGTGCTTTTTAGAAAATATTAATAAATCAGTATAACGAATTTTTAAAATTCAAAAATTTTGATAATCCGACAAAAAATCGGACTACAGTTCAAATTTCAAAAGTACGTTGAGCGGTTTGTGACTTTGTTGCAGACTTGACTCTATAATGAACTGAAAATTAACACAATGTTTTCCGAGTTTTTTATTATCGACAAATTGAATTAGCATCTTAAAAAGTAATTATTTGCTTTGTTTCGGACGCTTCTCTTTTATTTATTGAATAAACTTTAAGTTCTTGATAATTTGTTGTTATAAAAATATTATTCAAGAAAAATAAAGACGAATTTTACTATGTTTCTTCATTCATTTAACTATAGCTATGCACATTCAGAGCCTCAAGAAATAATATCATTATTTTTCATATTTTCTAGGAAAGTATTTTTGTTTTTTTGGGGATTTTTAAAAAATCCATTTAAAAGTAGATAAAACATAATATTGAGCTATTACTAAATTGACAAAATAAAACTTAATTAAACTAAACTAATAGAATGCAAATGTATGGGGCACTTTTCTTTGAATAAGTTCTAAATTCGATTAATGTTTTCATTTGTTCAGAAAAAAATTCCTTAATATATCATTTAGGCGCATTTTTGAAAGAAAAAAAAAATTCGTTCATTTTTGGCTAGTTGAAATCCAATGTGATAATTTACCAATGATATTAGAACATTTCACTTGTTCAAAACCTGTCTTACTCGATATGTCCTAGCTACTTTGTCCATAGAAATGCTGCTCAGAAAGCAAAAAAAAATGTTAAATCGCAAAAATGCATGCAAATTAGTAGATTTGGTCAAATTAAAATAAAAAAAAATAATTAAAGTTGCAAATCAAATTTGATTTTCAGAAGCCGTTAGAATTATGAGCTTTTTTTTTGAATTTCTAATAACCTTGAAAATTTTGAACTTTAAAAGCCGCTTAAAATTTTGAGCTTAGTTTAAATTTTGAATTTTTGGAAGTCGTTAATTTTTAAATTTTAGAAACCAGTTCAGATATGTTCCAATATAACTTTTCGATCGTGCTGTCAAAAATGCGCTTCATTCATCCATAAAAGGATACAATTATTTTTTTAAAAATCCTAATTATGTAATTAAGTCTGTAAATTTTGTTTGTCCTATTCGGTATGCGTAGAGTATGACATGATCACTAATCCATCAATAACGATAAATGCAAAAATAAAATTTAAATGATGATAATTCTAACAAGGAAATGAATTCTGTTCATAATTTGATATTCTTACTATCTATCTATATCGAGCATTTCACATTTTTTTGGTCGAGTTCATTCTTTTCTTTTTTTCGAAGCCTTTTCTTATTTAATTAATTGTCTTTTTAACTTTTTTTGTTCTTATTCATCTTTTTGTTCCTAAAATATCTTGCAAAAATCATTAATTGAATCTCATGCAATCTCGCCATTCGAGCGGTTAATGACCTTTTCAATAGTGCCAGGAACCTACAAAAAAAATTAAAAATCGTGTTAGTATAATTAATATTAAGCTGTTAAAATTTGTTCTTATCACAAAAATATTAAAATTTGCTATGGATTAAAGCATTCACACATTATAAACGTGAAAAAAACAGAAAACAATAGCAAGTAAATAAAATAATACATAAAAGAGGTGAACAAAAGTCATGATTTATTAATTTAATAAGAATTATATAAAAATTTTATAAATAAACCAAAAAAAAAGATTGATTTGTGATAAGAACAGAGATGATCTTATAAGGAACACATGATTCTTTTTTTAGACTATTGAAGATTACAAAATCAAATAATAAGAATTTAAACTAAAGTGAATAAAAGCAACAAAATAGTGGCTGATAATGCTATTCAATCCCATTTACCTCTGGCTTTGGTCTATGAGTACAAACAGCATCGATGGGTAGCTTAATAAATTCGCATTTACAACCGTATGCAACAGGTGTCAATTTTATTACTGTGTGAAGTGGAACTTCCATGTATGGCAGCTCATCTAAAAAACAAATAAAGGAACCACATGCAATTTAACAGACTACAATAAATAAAATGACTTCTTACTAGCTGGTTTGTCCAAAAAGTATGCTAAAATGCATCTTAAAACGGCTTGATGTGTCACTACGAGAACATTTCCTTGTCTTTCCAATTCCATCATGACTGGTTCTAAACGTACGACTAAATCCTCATAACTTTCGCCCCTTGGATAGCGATAAAAGAACTTGTTTTGGTCTCTTGCACGAAAATCATCCGGAAACTTCTTTTGAATCTCTTCATATGTCATCTCCTCACAAATTCCCTAAAATTACAATGTTGCGATAATGTTATCATCGAGTAAATACTTTAATGCTGTTAGATATCATGATTAGATATCGTAAAGTGAATAAATAGATTATCAAAGAGCTATTTTTGCTTGTTTTTCAGAATGTAATTAACTTGTGCGGCAAATATGATACTTGACTGATAAATTATGCTTAATTGACACATTAAATGATTAGATTTCTAAGATATCGAGAGGTTTTTACACTTAAATGCCTCATAATTTTTTTACGGACATTCGAAATTCAAAAAATTGATCTTATGGTTTAAAAGATTTGAAATTTGAACTTTCGTTAAAAACTTGGAATTTAATATCTAAAATATCCGTTAATTTTGCGAGCAATTTCTGGGAATTAAATTGACCTACATTTTCAAATCAGGAGCATGTCACGCGTTCAAATGATAAATATCACAAACAAATCACGTTGTAAATCAATAAAAAGTTATTATAGGCCCTTAAGAATGCCAATTTCAATTACAATGTGATCACTTTTAGATAACAAGTCTAGCACGCTCCAATAAAATAATCATAAAACTGCACTTTTCGTAATAAAAATGATAATAAAATTTGATATTTACAGCATCGATTTCATTTAAAGCCTTCCATCGCTCCTGCGGTGCCTTAATTTCAGCAACTGTCTGAATAGTTCTCTTCAACCATGATGTCCATACTCGCAATCCCTCAATATTCTGTCCATTGATGTAATTTGCCAATGATTCAGCGTACAATTTACCGCGAACACTCAAATCAGCATCACCTCCAATAAGACCTTTTAGATTATGTTCACTTTCGCCATGCTTTAATTAAAATATTTAAAGTATTTACAGTGTCTCAACGTAAGGATTTCACAACAATAAACTTACTCGTGTCAAATAAATTGTTCGCTTTGTAATGTGAATATTCATTAAAAAGTAAACAATCCGCGATTGAATATGACCTTCATGTTTATGGATTATAATCTTTTCACCGGTATTATATATTTTCATGTACGAAAATTCTTTTTCTTGAACCACATCCAATGGCTGATATTTCTCCTGATAATGCTCAATACGTAAACGAAAATCGTCCATAGCCTCTTCTTTGTTCATATTTGCGTAATCGGGACTGCTGACTTTCACTTCCATTATATTCTGTTCTATAATATGCGGATCATCGCAAATTGATTCAACAAACAACAACTTGAATTTCTTCTGTTTAACAACAATCTCCTCAATCAGCTTCCTTCGCTCATACGTTGAGTTTGTGGCATCGAAGACCTTAAAAAAAGGGGTGGAAATGTGAGATTAAATTATTATGATTGGATTTTGTGTCATTTGTTGATTACAGGCTGGGTGTTTTAAAGGATTTGGGGGTTGAGCTGATTATTTGGCTAGCATCAAGTTTAACATTTTTAGCGGTTAAAATTCAAATAAATTTTTGAACTCTGTTTTTCAAATATTTTTGGACCGTTAATTTTCTAATAATTTCGTCTTCCTTCCTCCTACAATGTTGCGACACAAACTCTATTGTCGTCAAAAAAATTGACAAACATACGTAAATTGTCACGAATCTATAAAATTTTTAAATCTTTTGCCAATTGTCTTAATTTACGTTTTCAATTCTTACTTCATTTTATTTTTTAACACAAATTATGCTCCGAATGAATCATCAGACAGTGTCTCGAGGCAATTACAGCCACTCAGCCACTTGTCATTCAATGAAACACTTTCAACCCTGAATTCAGATCAACAACATCAAAAGAAAACAGACATAAAATTACAACTTACTGCAACTTCTCCTCCTTCATTTTCGAGCCAATTAACTACATCTTCTAAAGCATGCTTTGCACAATTTGTTCGTATCATCATAGCTGTTTCGTTATCTGGTCGAAAGAAATCATGATTTCTATATGCATTTGTCACATTCCTTCGATATTCACCCAAATTAAAAACTATTGGAGATGACGTAGAAGAAAATATTTATGGAATTTATGTTTGGAAAGTTTGATAATGAGTCACATTACCTCGTGTATTGATTCCTATCCAATTTAAATAGCGCGAAAGCTTCTTTGCAATATACGTCTTGCCCCGTGCTGGTAATCCTACCATCGCGATAACGTGTGGGACATTGATAAAGTTTGTAGTATCACCTAGAATTAGAAGAAATAAATATAGAGATAGCAACAAATGATTCCGGCGCCTTTTTCTTATTATTTTCTTCTTTCAGCTGACTTAGTATAACAAATTTATTGTTAGGCATTCTCGTTTAGGCTATTTATAGACCAGATCATACAACACTAGTTTGACTCTACGCGTTAAAAAAAAAATTTTCCTCTTCATTGTCTCTTGATATAACACACAAAAAAAGTATAAAAAGCTAGCGACAAGATGATTGTGATGAAGCCACACAATATAATTAATCAATCTGTCGCTGTTTGTTTTGCATATTGAACTTGATAATTGATTGAAAGCTAAACAACAGCTACAACAACAACAACGTAGTTCCTATCTACAAATACTATAAAAAAAATCTAGCAGCTAATGTCAATAATCGTAGCTGCGTGCATGACCCTTGATCTTGCTAGGTAGTAAAGCTTATCATTATCTAAACAATATTATGAATTAATGCAGAATTGTAAATCAAGTAATAAAAGTTTACTGGATGTTTGCTGGATCTTTTGCAATAGAATAATTTGAACATAAAATATCGATTTTACGATGAAGAACTGTCACAATTGTGCAAAAATAATGCACTCACCTGTATGAATGAACGTTTCCTTGTGTAGAAATTTCCATCCTAGCTGCATATCCATGTCTCAGAGTATAATATTTTTAATATTTCTCGCACTGTAAGTAAGGATCTTCTTTTCTTTCTAGTGGTTGTGAGTTGACTGATAAATTATTATCACTTTTGAGTCGCTCACGCTCTTTTTTCCTTTCAATATTTCACTTTATTTAATAAAATTTTTTTTCACGATGTAGCTTACAGCTTTTTTTCTCTCTTTTTTTTGTCTATAAATATGATTTGATATTTTGCTCTCTCTTTTCAATTTAATTATTGTTTCTCGCTCGCATTTTACATTTTCTGATGATCCCTTTTAATTTATTTAACTTTTTGATAGAATTAAACTTTTTTCACTTTCGTCTTATGCAAAATCCTATAATTCTTTACTTTTATGATGTTATTCTAATATATTCGAATTGGTTATACTAGGACACGGCTATTAGTTTAATTAAACTTTATGATTAGCAATTAATTAACCTTTTATTCGCAGAAAACTTGTATTATGAAATAAATTTAGAATCTTTTTGTGGCGAAGTGCCAAGGTTGGTATTTGTGAATTTTCTAATGACACTTTATGAAATTTGTGCAATTATCATAAACCATATAACTCTTTGAATACTGTGTTAACATGTCAAAATAACCATTCCATCCTAATACACGTCTAAAATCCAATAAGAAAGAATTAAGTAGTTGCATAAAAATAACAATATGAACAACTCTGCAATTGTTGTTGTTGTTCTTATCAATTTGATTTTGAATTTTTCGCGAACGTTATAAAAGTTTGACTCATTTTAACATAACATAATTCAAATTTAACCGTTTGAAACTTCATGCCCCAGCAAATTGAAAATGACAAATGTGCTGTCATATCTTCATTTAATTGCGGATTTAATTCAAAACTGGATTTGTCACTGAATAACTGGTAAATGGAAACTACTTTCCATAAAGATCATCATTATAAAAAGACACTACACTGACAGTTGACCACATTTGGAAATTGTATGTTGTTTCCTCGTCTTTTTCTCTTCAGTCACATTAATATCCATTAAATTGCTATCATATTCAACAAGTGATGGTTTACATGGCTTTAGAGAAAAAATGTGCGATTTCATTTGAAAAGCTAACGAAAGGAAAATGAAAGGAGCAATGGACTATGGCAAATATATAGAGGTGAAGAAAAGATTGAGATCAATAAAACATTTTTTTTGTGTGTGCTGATTTATGGTAGTCATTTAATTTGCTGACCCCAAAGCATTTCTTATGCGCCTAATTTGTAATCTGGGAGCCGTACGCAATTTTACATCAAGTTCGATTTTTATTGCATAATTCTTGCGTATCAATACATGATTTTTCTTTGTGATGACCTTTTAGTGATCCCCAAAAATTTATTTTCTCAAATGGAAATCGGTGTCATATGGATTTTGACATGATTTTCACATTACTGATTACGATTACTACATGAATGTTTTGTTGAGTAGTTTTAAGCTCCTTCAGGTTAGAAATTCAATAAGTTCACATTGACAAAAATAAACTTTAATTTAATTATTAGCTTAAATACTAATCTTAAAAATCAAGATGCACTTTAGTGTCAATCAAAAATCATCAATGAGCCTGAGAAAGTTAAATATGCGGCACAGGCAAAGCAAATTTACATTATTGTTGAAATTTTTTCTCCGCTAATCTTGCAAATTTTAATTGATGTCTAAAACAAACATCGCAAAGCGCTATCAGTTGGTTGTCAAAACCAACAAAGAATTATAAGAGGCTTAACGCTTTAATCTCCTATTAATTAAATCAATAAGACAATTTATTGAATAAACGATTAAATTCTTGTGTCTATGTTTTGTTATATGAATTCAATCATCAAGATGCTTGCATGCCACGGATGTATTGTAAAAGCATGTGGGCATAAGCTCTACCCTCGAATAATTTCCGCGAGGAATTAATCATGTTTTCGCATCACTATCCACAATAATGAATGCATTCAGCCGTTTATTCATATTGATGTAGAAATTGAAGAAGAAGTAGAAAAAGTTTTCATATTGTCGCCGCATGTCATAAGCTAATAAAACATGTAAGACATTATTTTAAACGAAACAGAGCATAAGCACATCAATGTTATATCAAAAGAAAGGAAAAAGTTGCACTCGCCGAACTGTTATCGTCGAGTCAAGTGACTTTCCCATGTGCAAAAAAAACTTAAATTAAATTAATGAACATTTTTTTCTTAATTTTGCATGGTGATGACTAAATTTTTGCCAGTAATTTAATATTGCTTAACGTAATTTGTAAGAGTATTACGATAATTACAACACAATTTACTCTTATCGTCTGTCGCTGACTAATTGATGGAATAAAAAAAATGGGTCAATAAAATGATCCTTCAAACTTGATAACATCATACTCTGCAGAGATGAAATAAATTAAATATTCCACTTTCATGATGGTGTCAAATTAATGACGGTTACTTTTAATTATGGGCGAAAGTATTCTACTTAAAGTAATCTGAATTAATAACTAGGGTAAACCATGTTAAAATTTGTGCAATGTTGAAATTTGTGCGATTAAATGAAATGTAAATCATCTAAACTAAACCATTTATAGAAAAAATTTGTATGCAGTTCTTTGTAAAGCAGTTGTTAAAACTTCTCTACTTCATTTTGGATTGTGTTGAAGGTGCTTATAGCTTTAAATTTCAATTATTCAAAATCCCATACAAAATGAAAGTTTTCATCTTTTTAATTATTTGGACTCAACTAATGATTCTTCTTACCCCATCAGATTTGAAAAACAAATTCTCTTTATTGCTTTTTCGATTAAAAAAGTTTCTGCGTACGAAAAGTCATTGGAAGTCCTTGAAAAATTGATTTTAAAATGAGTTGTTTTCAAATGTTGAAATTTGTGCGAAATTTTTTGACAAATTTTGAAATTTGTGTGTATTTTGTCGTTGAAAGCAATGGCACATTTTGTCAACAAAAATAATTATTTACAATCAAAATCGGGTTTTTAGAGGCATGAATCAAGATTAAGACAAAAATAACACGAAGAAGACATGAACTGAGAGTAATGAAAAATGTGTTCGACTCAAATATTCATACAGAATCAAGAAATTTCAAAAATGCAACCAACTTCAAAAAATATTACTAGAACAAAAAAGCATTCAAGAACTACGTTCTGTTTTCAGTCCCAAATAGATGATACACAATAAACTTCGTTAAAATACTCTTCTTTCATTTATTTCTCAAAACAATTTTGCAAAATTCTGTAAACTTTATCGTGAATAAATTTTGGAAAAAAACATTTGTCAGTCAACATAAATGAAATACATAATGATAAATAAATTTGGAAATCTTGAGAAAAGTTCATTAATGCAGCAGTGTCCTTTAAAATTGAAATGGAGTTTATTTGGAAGTGTTCCTTAAAAGCAATCACCATTTAAAACCCTCGAAAATGCGTAAAAATATTGTTTTTTTACATTTCTGAATTGAAATGTGTCAATGCTTGTCATCAAAAAACGCACAAATTTCAACATTTGACCAAAAATGTCAAATTTCTCTTCCTATAAGCAGCATAACCATCACTGAGTATAAAAAAAATGAAAATTCTAACAATTTATGATAATTTAAGACCAACAGTAAATTTTACAGTAATGCATTAAAAAGTTATAAGCAAATGAAATCTTCAAGTGCAAAAATACACAAATTTCAACATGGTTTACCCTAATTACGTTTATCTGAATTATGACTATCATGATAATATCTTGAGATGACATTATGCAAGTTTATACACTCATAAAAATATTTTTAGTAATTTGTTGTTAAAATCTTATTAAAATTTTTTTAATGAGAATTATTAAAATTTTAGTAAACCTTATCAAACTTTTAGTAAAACTTATCAAATTTTAATAAAAGTTTTTAAAATCCTACAGCGTTGTAAAACTGTTGTAGGTTTCCAAAATTGTAAGGTTTTCATACATTTTATATACTTCACAAACGCTTCCAGAAATGACTTATACAAAAGAATGTCTTAGTTCTCATACAAAGTCATATAAAATTATTAATTTCTTATGAGGCACATTAAGTGCCAAAAATCATGCAAAGTCTTAAGCTTTGAGAAAGCGTTTTACTTAAGACTTGAAAAAGCTCCATACTATAAATTAATTATACTATAAAACTGTTTTTGTAAAAAAAATAATCCAAGAAATTTTAATGACTTTTTACTAAAATCCATGAACAAATTTAATATAAATTATAAAAAATTCATCTTAATAAATTTTTACTAAAGTTTAGTAAGAAAATTATTAAAATTTTTTAACGGTTTTGTAAAATTTGAATGCAATTTTGTAAAACCAAAACTTTTAATAATCCTTATCAAATTTTAGTAAAAGTTATCAAGATGTATTTTTATAAACTTTTATTAAACTTTTTCATACATTTTTAATAAAATTTATTAATTTTTTTTTATGAGTGTAAGCATTACTTATTCATTATCAGTCATTTTCATTAAATTGTTGATCTGATTAATATTTGCAATAATATAATCGATTTCCCACGGTCTCTTTAATGATAAAATCTATTAGATCAAACTGCTTGAAGCTTAACTTACCTAATAATGGTCTAGTAATTAAATTAAAATTGATGTTTACTAAGATTTTACAAAAGTCTTTAAAAGGGTGTGCAACAAAAATTTCTACAAAACTAGTGTATCGGATAGAAACCCAATGCGGATATATTCACACCGTACCAAGATTTGCTTAGCATAAGTTTGAAGGTATAAAGCTAGCGAGTCAGCTGAGCTTTGCTTGCTTGTTTGCTTACAGAAAGCGTATTTTGCTATTTTCTCAGCAATGCCGCAACCAATTTGAAATTTGTTTTTTGCAAAAGATGTGAAATTCCAGGCACAAACTTTTCATCTCTGAACATTTTAAGCTATCTTGCTCCATATCCTCACAAAATTCAAAAAACTGATTTTTCAACAAAACCAATAGATTCACACGTGAAAACGGTGTGAATATAAATATTTAAAACCAATGAAAAATCGTGCGACTAAAGCTTAAAGTGACATTTGAGAAGCTTACAATATGTACGTAGATGGATTGATATCCGTTATGTCACGCGTCAATACAAATTTGATGAATTGTGACAATAATCATTTAAATATTAATTTTTATAATTTTTTATTCATCAATTTCGGCTTGATAATGGATATTCGACATAAAGAAGTTAATCATATGAAGATCTTGACATAAAAGAAATTCCCACAACAATATTTATTCCTTAATGCTTCCTTTTATGAATGCCTAACACGCTAAGTGAAAGAAATCAAAATTTATAATCCAGCCGCATGCGAAAAAAAATTATTAAAGATTTATTGAACGAGCTTTAGCCATTTATGAAAAATGAGAAAAAACTAAGTTATATCAACGGCTGTAGTAAGCTCAATTACTCATTTTTCTCAGAGCTGCTAGAAAAATTTACGCAATCTTGCCAATAAACAACAACAGCAGGTAGATTTGAATAATTGCGCGTTTAATAGAAAAAATGTGAAGTGTAGAATTGCGTAATTCATCAAAAAACATAAAAAAATCTATGAAAAAAATTTATGTACCCTGAATAAGTGAAAATTCGATGTTTAACGAATTTCATAAGAAAAAAAAAGTAAAAGTATGATTTCTTCTTGCAAATTGT